CAACGAGGTTTATGGGATCGAACGAAAAAGATTACAAATTGTCTATTTTGATTAATGGGAACAAATTCATGAAACTTGGAGAACCGAATTGTCATGCATGCATCACTGTTTAAATGGAATTTCTTCCTCCAAATAGAAACTAAATATTTTATATAAAAATAAGTTGTCCTATGTTCGTGATTTTATAACTCGAGAACCACTCAACCGATTTTCAAACGAGTACATGCGTTGGAAAGGTCTACTTTCACCGATGGTTTATAAAAAAAAAAACATCGAAAAATTTCTACGAATATGCGTTATACGCGCACTTTTATGATGCGCGATACCTCGCCCGTAGCAGTACTGCGATGTTACCGCCAGGTGGCGAAGCTTCACGAGCGCTTTCTCGCGAGAGAATTGCATTATCGCGGATATATGTACATGTCAGGAGGATCGTTTGGTCATAAATTGCTTTTGCACGAGGTCGGGCGAAGCCGAGACGGGGCATGCTAGTATTTTATATAAAAATCGTTAATTACAATGAAATTAAAATCGTTTCTTTTGTTCTGCATTTTTCCTAATTTTCTAAAATGGTATCTAGCTAGTAATTTTACTATTTCGAACAACTCTGTCAGACTTATGACTGCGTCAACTACTTTCCAGCAAATAATCTGAATAAGTAGTCTATAAAGTATGGAAAGTGGATCATTTGTGAATGAACTTTTGCTATCTGGAAAAGCTGTAACGTCATCAAAGATTCAATTCAATTTCGTATAAAAACTATTCTGTGAAAATAGAAACATTAATTAATTAAATAACAATTAAATCCATAAAATCGAAGTTGAGAGATGTTGACGCGATAAAAAGGTTTTGGACTGAATTCTTCGTGTTAAATTCAAAGAATTTTAACAGAAAAAGGATAGAAAAATTGGTACACAGAGGACTGTTATGAGAAAATTAGAGATAAAATATTTGCGAAAGACGGTTTGTAAATAATTTGTTTCGAAAGGAGAAATATGGGATGATGATGGTTTTGATCGTTTCGGGGGGCACGAAAGCTCGATTGTGCCGATGACGAAATTAAAGACCTCGTTGAGGTAAGTCCGCGTAATCCTCGAGTTACCCTTCTTTAATCCATCATGGGCGTTAACCCCTTCGCGGCGACTGCCGTGGACTCTCGAACCTGTTGCTTTAAACAAGATGTACGCTGAATAATGGATATTCCTAAGTAGTTCGAAGTCCGCTTAAACCGGCACGCTGGGAACCGTGTTTGCGCATTCACGGATAAATTCCATACCCCGGTTAACTAACACACGAATATACTAATCGTGTAACGCCCTAATGGAGAATTTCACCTGACAAATGTCGCTAGAGACGCGTCAACTCTATTCCTACGTTGTTATTTTAAAAACACGCCTGACTCTATTCGTCTGCCTCCCAGAAAATTATAGGACTCAAATATTTTATTATATTTCATTCATATGAATTTTTCTAAACACTAGTCAATAATTCGAACAAATTTATACAAGGATCCTTACACGTTTTTGCTATAGATGTTGTTATACAATAAATAGAGAAAAGTATGTCTTTTTTAGAGAGCAATTTTACTGAAAAATATTTCTCGATGTTTTTCAAATATTTTACAAATTTAAATAAACAATAAACGTATTTGAATACACATTGTATACCACTGTTTGTGCAAATTAATATTAAAAAATAATCTGGAAAATGGGAAATAATAGTTGTAAACCGGAGGATAAAAATTTTATGGAATATTAGACCCGAAATCGCGATTGAATATAAAAAGTATAACCGGGGCCATAAACGGATTACTGTTTTGTTTTTTTAATTATTTTAATACCCCGGGATAGCTCCCCTTAAAAAACCTTTTCAGTGCACGCTTTAGCATTCTCACGGATTAAAATGAACCAAAATTTACTCCATTCGAAGTAATACCCTTGATGGATTAAAATTGATTCGAAACCTACATCAGATATTTTCCGAATATAAAGCGATACAAGATCGTGAAACGCCTGGTGTATTTTTAAAACGTAAATAATCGAGATTGACGTTTATTATTACATGTAATAGCGGTATTTGTCGCGACCGAGGATCGAGTGGTATTTCGCGTCGTTGATAAACCAGTGAAATTGTTCGTGAAAGGATTTCGGTGTTTTTGGGACACGATAAATATGCTTTATTCGTCGACTGCTGCAAAACTAATGAAACTTCGACGATAATCAAGAATAAAATGTCTTCGTATCTAAATATTTTTGTGGATCTTTTAATACCTGCATTTTTAATTTGTTTGCGCAGAATTTTGCACCTGACAGCGGTCATCCATAATAACTTGCAAACAATTCTTGTAAAAAGATTTTTTTTTTTGTAATCAATTACAAAGGGTTAATCATTTTTCTCCTACTTTGTCAGAAAGTTTTTAAGGCCACTTTGAATTGTTTCAATCAAATGTTTAATTAATGCAAACCTAATAATTAATACGATATTCACGAAACTATTGTAAATTTTCATTAATTAGTTGTCAAAATGGTTCTCGATAATATAAATGCTACTATATTAGTTAATGGGGTAAAATCAGTCGTTTTGAAAGAAAATGTAGCATGCGTTACGACTATTTGTTCTTTTGCATTCCCGATGGTTGTCAATAATTCAAAAGAATTGCAGTATGTACAATTTGTCGTGAAAAAATACCTCGGTGCGTCACTCTGTTTTTGTTTTAATTGGTTTGTAATTGCGGATCCCTGGTTTAAATTAATCTAGAGTTACGTCATCGAACCTCTTCGAGCACGAAACGTTACAGTTGCTTTTCTTAACACTTTACCGACCGGTAGCCGGTAAAACAGTCGATTAATAGGCTATCGGTCGGTAAGCGTTGGCCGGTAAAACAGCCGATTAATAGGCTATCGGTCGGTAATGTGTTAATATCCATACAATAGCTAAAATAGATAGCTATTCAGATTTATATTTAATTGGCATGAAACTCCATGTGGGATTCGATTAGAATTGAAATATCTGTGTTATTTTCAATTGTGAATTGGAAAATTTAACATTTTCAGGGAAATGTTACAATTAACAAAGTTTATTGTGGCAAAAGAAAATAAAGATTAGAACCCAACAGGTTAAACTTTATTCACGACTAATGAACACAAATTTTAGATTCATTCGTTAATTAGCTTACGTATGTGTTTCATTCGTAAATTAGTAGAGCAAAATTGCAAAGAAAACAACCAATCAACTCTCTGAAATCTCGAGTCATAGATATTCTCAATGGTCTCAATACTCACAACTACAATAACCATAATTTTAGATGATCGGTCGATTTAAGAGAACTATCTATAAAAGTATAATGAAATAAATTCGTACAATAGTTACAATAATCGAACGTTAATTTTTTCTCGAACTTTGATACAGGCTGTTGTTAAAATTGGCAGGTAAATTTGATTAAAATCGGTGAGAATCACACTCTCGAAGGTCGAAAAATAATAAAAAATCGACAGAGTGTGTCTTTTTTCGCGCGGATAAGAAGGTGTGATCGAAACATGGAAATCAGTCTCTGTTGGGGAACTAAAAGCTGGGTGTTGGAGAAGTCTCTCGCAGTGGCGTGTGTGACACCTGTGAAAACCGGGCTTGTACCTTTCACGAGAGTGCCAATTACACGCGGGAAAAGCACGCGACTTTTTCCCCTTTTGTCTGGCCTCCGGGGGCCCGGGATACTCGTGTAAAATCAAGCCCCGACCCGTACCTACATACGGCTCTTTTCTCTTCCGGTGTTTCACGCACTTTTGTTGCGCTCTTTATCGCGTTATTTAGCCGTACTTTTACAAGAGAGAAGCCCCCGCTAAAAATAGGGACGTTCTATAAAGATTAATTTTGACATAATGCGGCTGTCTTCTCTCTTCCGCCTGTAATTAAAGTCGCAAAACGTTAGCCTGTGCAACGGAACCCCCCTCGGGTAATTAAAGAGGGAAGTCGTTCGAATTAAACGCTTCCGCCTCGCTGTTTTTTGTCCTTTCCTATCGGTAATTGATTATTCTGGAAATTACGCGCCTCCAAACCAATAATACTTTGAACCTTCCAAATTAATAATAAATTATTATTAAATATTTACACGCACTTTCCTCGATATTTCAGAGCAAATAATTTGCTATCTTAAACAAACTTGTTTAAATCAATTTTGTTTCGAGATACGGCTAAGTTAGACTGATAATAAACGTGGACAACGTCGAATCAGATAGAAAAGTAAAGTTTGCTGAGGTAGCATGTTATTTTCTGATCGAAAACAAGTGCCAAAGTGAAAGAGTACGAAATAGAAAGACAACAAAGAAACTCTGTCCGAGGTTTCATCGAGACACAATACGAGATCGAAGACGTTTGCAAATAATATTCCTTTAATATTCCGTTCTTGACGTTCCCTGCACTTTTCGCTTCTAATTCTTTTCCATTCCTTTCCCGGGGATTTCTCTATACCGAATCTGACGTTTTAATCTCAAGTATCCAGATGGGATCCGCGATTTCCTATAGAAGAAATAGAACGAGGGCCGAAAGACAGAGCTGGCGAGTGGAAAGAGCACTTTTCAAACAGAATAAAAAGGCTGGATACCTGGGAAAATGTCGTCTAAGGGCGAAATCGGTGGCGGAGACAATTTGTACTAGCTTCGCTGTTTTTTTTGTATTCTTCACTGTTCGCGAGAAAAGGTTAACTTTGTCCTCGTAGACGAATTATGAAGAGATTTGCTCGGTAATAAAGAATTCAAGCTTGTTGCGAGTTAATGATTCGCAGACAGTTTAATTCGACTTCGCGTTCAACGATTCATTGTCCGAGGCAGGTTCATCATTCAACGATCTTTATTTACCTTCTCCGCTTCGTGCCTCGCAAACTGAAGAGAGACGCTAATTAACGTATTTGACGTTGGCTATCTCGGAAAGAATATTTTAATATTACGGAACGTAGAAGAAATTCACGCGTGATTCGTAATTTCGTCGTTCTCTTTTGGCTCGAAGACTGATCTTACAGGAAAAGCACGGTGGAACGTTTCGTGCTCGAAGATGGCTCTGAAGCTTTTGCAGCAAAATTTCGAGATCGTTGGCGCGGTCTCTGCGGCGACATTACGGCGTTATACAATATGTTACACTGAAAGCGATAGTCGTTGCACTTTGTGATTTGACCCTTTCTCGTTTGTCTACGCCCCTCGCGCGTCTGCACGTTGCTCCGTAGAAATGAATTCTCTATCGCCCACGTTCGTCTTCATTGGACACTTGCGCTACACTGACTTGGCACGCGTAATTATTATTCTTATTTATTTATTTATTTTTTTCCCACCTCTTCCGTTTTAATACGACACTAACTACTCAGTCAATTCTCGCCCGTATCCACTCTGTACGTGTCTCCGTGTGTGTGTACTGTACGTGTATCGTGTAGAATCTCCCGTGTACGTGTCGATTTTCTAACTTCATTTAGATTTCTGTTAGGTTTAGTCCCTAATCACAGATCGTCGACGTCGTGGCTCTGCTTATCGAACGATCGACACCGCGATCAGGGCAGCCATTAACAGCAGTCCTGTCGTCGTCATGGCAACTCCCGAACCTGAAAACGAAATAGAAATCTCCGGTTATTAATTTTCTTACGACTCTTTCGATTTTACTGATTAAATAATCCAACGTGGCTTTTAATTTAAAACTAGAATGTTAAACCTAGTTATTTAGAAGTTTTTTTTGTGGATATTTTTAAGATAAAAATGTCTGAGTGTCGTTAAATGTTTTTGTAAAAGTATATCTTTATTTTTTATTCGTATAAAATAGTAGCTTTAAAGATTGTATACCAATATATTACAGTTTGTGTGAAAATATTGTCGTCAATATTCGGTAAAGAAGAATAAAATCATCGGATATCGAGTTGGTAAGTTCACTTAGCGCGACAGTTCGAAACCTTCGGTTCTCTTCGCGGCAAAGTGTTCGAACAGTTCGGTTTAAAATCCAAACAGTTCTATTCGAAAGTTTCGGCTAGTTTACGTAGAGTTTCGACACGAGAGTTCCAGTGATAGTTCAAAGTACGAAAGTTCGGCTGCGTTCAAAGTCTGGAAGTGGAATTAGTTCTAATGGTTCTAACAAGGAACCATCTCGAAGCGTCGTGTGTCCATTTTCATAAAACTTTCCGTAGTCGAGGGAAGGGACATAATTAAGGAACACGTGTTTTTTCCCCCCTATCCACGATGATTTAAATTTAAACGATGGAAGTACTTTACAAAGGTTTTGTCCTCCAGAAATTGATGGAAATAAATATTTCGTAAATTTGGACGAATGAAATTGAAATATGTATGATTTTTATGGGGGTTTTTCTCATTTTTCGGAGCGAAGGAATCAGTTTTTGAATATTTTTGAAATTTCTACATATTCTACACTAAAATACGCGTCGTTTGCCGCTTGAAACATTAAAATCGGCCAATCCGTTCACGAGTTATGATTTTTTAAAGATTCGAATGAAATTTCAGTGAAACATATCAATGGTCAGGCATTAGATTTTCAGTAAAGAATTTTTTTCTCGAAACTGAGTAGGATTTTGGGGGTATGTCTAATAAACAAAAATGATTGCGATTAACCTCTGCACCTGAAAATATTTTTTTCAGAAGGATTTGAAATTTTTTTTTCGCCGAAAAATTTAGGCAGCTACACCCTGTCGATTTTTCTTAATAACTCGTTTTTCATTTTTAATCAATTTGTTTGACGCTGTATGGAAATTTTGTCTAATACGTTTTTGTAGGTACACATGAACTCTACTTCCGAAAAAAGTTTCATTGAAATATGTTCACTATTGTAGGAGTTATGGCCATTTGAAAATTCCGACCACTGTTATGGGGTTTTTGCAACTTTATGGTGTTAAGGAACAACTTTTCCAATATTCTTAGAATTTCTACATATTCTCCACTAAAATACGCGTCGTTTGCCGCTTGAAACATTAAAATCGGCCAATCCGTTCAAGAGTTATGATTTTTTAAAGATTCGCATGAAATTTCAGTGAAACATATCGATGGTATGGTCAGACATAATTTTCGGTGAAGAATTTTTTTCTCGAAACTGAGTAGGATTTCGGGTATATGTCTATTGACCAAAAATGATTGTAATTAACCTCCGCAGCCGATCATAATTTTTCCAGAACAATTTGAAATTTTTTAATTTTGTCCAAAAATTTTTCACCTTCTCGAATTTTTTTCTCGAAATGCGTAGGGTTTCGAGGGTATATCTGTTAACCATAAATGATTGTAATTGACATATATGATAAACACAACATTTATTTCGCGTCTAAATATGTATTAAAGTTACACATAACAATATGTCGTTAATAATAAAAATCGAAATAAAGAAGAAAATTTTGTTGAATATCTACACACGTGTACATAAATCAAGGTCAGTCGAAGCGCATTTCTTTACAAAAATAACGATTTATTTAACATCCAAAGGCGTGGAATCCCCCGTAAGTCGAAACCGCGTAACACGAGGAACCCCATAGCTGTCGTTTCAATTTCCACGACGTCGCGAACGGAAAGAAAAATGTTTTCGTCCCGTCGGAGGCTCCAGAAACACGAGACCCCGTGTACCTGGGCGGTCTCGGTGCATGAAAACGGACTGAAAGCTCGGGGAAACCGGGAAATCGCGATTCGTAGCCGTAAAAATCGCGTCGGTGGCCCCGAAAGGCTTGCGATGCGCAATCAAGAAGTTCCCGCAGAAATTCCCGCAGACAGGCCTGCGAGAAGGATCCTTCCGGCGAGACGGGAACTCAGCGGAAGGATAAACGTGGAAGAAAACGAGGGGGGGGGGGTTGCATGCAGACGATGAGGAAACAAGAGAATGGAAAAGTCAGTTATTCTTCCGGCTGGCCCGCCCTATACTTTCAGCCATTACTCGCTCCGAAAGAGATGTATTCCGGGTTCTTCTTGGTCTCGCTCATCTCTAATTACAAATCAGAAACAACCCCGTTGGCCCGTCGCCCCAATCATCCCCCGAGCCTTTCCTCGTCCCCGTTTTACATTCGTTCCTCAACCATGACCACCTCTCGCAACGGCCACGCTGACGTTACTTCCCTTTCTTCTCGAATACCCGCGGGGATGGTTCCCTCATTCCGGCGATTTTGCGCGCCGCTTTTCGCCATTCGTTCCGTTTTTATTCCTCGACCTTTTTTCCGCCCGGTTCTGCGGCCAACCGACGCGGCCACTTTTTCCAGCCGGCATCGCGGGGGCCAAAAACCATTTTTTGGGGGGGTAATTTGCGCGGTCCGTTTCGATGTACACCAAGTGTCCATGAAACCGCGTATCTTTGTCAGAGTTTACGACCTCGCAATGGGACGAATTCAACGAGATACAGTGATCCCTCGTTAATGGTCGCGACGAGAACGTTTTATCGAGGGAGGTGTATCATTTCAGGAATTGTCGACTCTTATCTACTAAATAGTGGGGGCCCAAGGTATCTATCGTCTCCAGAATCTTCATGATGCACTGTTGAGGTTTCTACTGCACAATGTGTTTTGTAATTATATATGTTTAACAAGTAATGAGGAAACAATGAACTGTACGAAGACTGATCTATAATCAATAAGTGATCCAGCAGGTGGCGTTGGATTACACAAGTGAGATTTACGAAAGTATAGGTCTTCTTACTCCTGACGTCTTCTTTTTCCTAGATAGAGCGCGTGTGAAGGTTAAAAAGGAAATCCCGGAACGTGGACTCTCGTGAGAAGGAATACGTTTCCTAGCTTCCCGATTTAATTTAATCGAACGCGTAACGAAGCATAATGGAACCGTGGTGAAATTCGTGCAGGAGCCGTCCCTCAGAAACTCCGGAGCTTTCTCCGGCGATTTCTGCGCGAGACAGTTCCGGAAGGTCTCGATAACGGGTGTTCTCGCAATTCGAAAACGAATTTACCCGAGGACGGTCCGGGAAACGGTTCGACCTTCGATACAACGAGGTTCCCCGGCTACCAAAGAACTGGGAGAAGTACTTATCAAGTTGTGGAAGGCTCGCCGACGCACCTTTCCTTCTCTACCCCACGCCCGGGCAGAATTACCTAGTTCCACGGGACTATCGGGGGATCGGGGGGATCGAGCCCGCGGAGAAAACGGATTTTCACACTTTCCCATTATGCAAATTCCTTTTAAAAAGAAACCACGGCTGGGAGAGAGCCCCGGCTGTATCGAGGACCGAAAGAGAACAGAGTGGGTGGAGAAAGATGGCCGATGGAAAGAAATATTCCGATAATGCCGGAGGCCTGGAGGAATTCTGCCGGGGCGTTGAGCCTGACCCGCGTCCGGCGTTCGGCGTTCGCTGTCATTTAAATGCCACTGCCCAGCCACGAAATACCGGATAAACCGCAACTTCGCCTCCCCCCGGCAGAAGGTTTTGTTTCCTCCGGTGCTCATTTGCCAGCTTGCCCCCGATTCGAGACAGATTTCAATGGCGCCGACGCTTTCGCTGATATCAGTACTTCGATTTTTACGCCGGACCGTAGTCGGCTCCGATATCGGTGTCCCTGGCTATTATTAATTTTTCCGTCTGAGGGACGACGGTCCGATTAATGAGCAGTCGACGGGGGGAATTCCCGACGAACGCCATCCGTACCACTGTTTCGCTTTTCTTCCTTCCGCTGGCCCCCCGTCGTTTCTGTTATCTGTTCGCGGCTACCTATCTTCGTACTCTCTTTGCCTAACTATTCCTGAACGACGTGATCGAATCGACAGTACACACTGATTCCGAGAAACCGTTCGATACAGTTAATCACGATATACAGATACGATTGAGACAACAAATATTTAATTTTTTTGGCGAGAAACAAAATTTTAGAATCGTTCTGGAAAAAATATTTTTCACTGCCGGGGGTCAATTGCAATCATTTTTGGTCATTACATATATCCTCGAAATCCTAACCGTTATCGAGAAAAAAATTCGAGTAGGCACTGAAATTTTTAGACGAAATTGAAAAATTTCAAATCGAACTAAAAAAATTATATTTAGTTGCAGGAGTCAATTACAAGCATTTTTTGTCAATAGACATACCCCCGAAATCCTACTCAGTTTCGAGAAAAAAATTCCTTACTGAAAATCTAATGCCTGACCATTGATATGTTTCACTGAAATTTCATGCGAATCTTTAAAAAATCATAACTCCTGAACGGATAGGACGATTTTAATGTTTGAAACGGCAAACAACGCGTATTTTAGTGGAGAATGTGTAGAAATTCCAAAAATATTAAAAAACTTATTCCTTCACTCCGCAAAATAAGGAAAACTCCATAAAAGATGGTCCAATTTTTAAACACCTATAACTTCTACAATAGTGAATATATTTCATTGAAATTTTGGGAGGAACTAGAGTTCATTGATACCTACAAAAAAGTATTAAACAACTTTTCTGTACAGTGTCAAACAAATTTATTATAAATGAAAAACGAATATTTATGAAAAATCGACAGGGTGTAGGCCCCTAAATTTTCCGACGAAAAAAAAGAATTACAAATCGTTCTGGAAAAATTATTTTCGGTTGCGGGGATTAATTACAATCATTTTCGGTGAATATACATACCCTCGAAATCCTACCCACTTTTCAGAAAACAATTCGAGATGGTGTGAAATTTTTCGACAAAATTAAAAATTTTCAAATTATACTAAAAAAATTATATTCAGTTGCAGGAGTCAATTACAAGCATTTTTGGTGAATAGGCATACCCCCGAAATCCTACTCAGTTTCGAGAAAAAAATTCCTTACTGAAAATCTAATGCCTGACCATTGATATGTTTCACTGAAATTTCATGCGAATCTTTAAAAAATCATAACTCCTGAACGGATTGGCCGATTTTAATGTTTAAAACTGCAAACAACGCGTATTTTAGTGAAGAATATGTAGAAATTCCAAAAATATTCAAAAACTTATTCCTTCACTCCGCAAAATAAGGAAAACTCCATAAAAGATGATACAATTTTCAAACACCTATAACTTCTACAATAGTGAATATAATTCATTGAAATTTTGGGAGGAACTAGAGTTCGTGGATACCTACAAAAACGTATTAGACAATTTTCCTGTAGGATGTCAAACAAATTTTTAAAATAATTGACAATGGGTAGGTGCCTGGCAAAATTGAAAAAATTTCAAATCGTACTAAAAAAATTATATTTAGTTAGAGGAGTCAATTACAATCACTTTTGGTCAATAGACATATTCCCGAAATCCTACTCAGTTTCGAGAAAAAAATTCCTTACTGAAAATCTAATGCCTGACCATTGATATGTTTCACTGAAATTTCATGCGAATCTTTAAAAAATCATAACTCCTGAACGGATTGGCCGATTTTAATGTTTCAAGCGGCAAACGACGCGTATTTTAGTCAAGAATATGTAGAAATTCCAAAAATATTCGAAAAGTTGTTCCTTAACACTTTAAAATAAGAAAAAATGCCATAAACTTGATTCAATTTTCAAACGATCATAACTTCGTCAATAGTGATTGGATTTCAATGAAATTTAGTAAGGGAGTAGAGCTCATGGGCACTTAAAAAAAAGTATTAAACAACATTTCCGTACAGCGTCAAACAAATTTATTAAAAATTAAAAAATGAAAACTTTAAGGATGATAATATACTTCTCTTAAATTTTCCATTCAATCGCGAGCTATTTATTAAATTATTTATCAATGAATTTTTAGATTTGATTATTAAATAAAGTAAATAAAATATCTTACTTGGCACATCCTGTATAACGTATTTTGGAGATTTACGATAAGTTTTGATTAGGTTTGCTATAGGTTTAGGTTGTGTTTGGATTAGATTCGTGTCAGTGTACTTAATCGGGTCGCCGTAAAGTGGCTGGTAACCAATTAAATGGATTTCGGTTTGATTTAGATTGGTTCGTGAAATAACTAATTAATATATCTATGCTGCGTATGGAAACTCAAACCAAACTTAACTCAAATCTAACCCAAATGAAATCTAAACCATTTTGATCATTCGACATAGAAAAATTGTTTTCTGTTATTTAAAAATGTCTTCTTACAACCACAAATAGTTTAATTAATAATATTAATCATTTTTAAAGCTGTTACACGAGAATCCTTCCTCCTTCTCCTATGTAAAATAATCATAGTGCTATTTGTAGCACTAATTACCGAAATATACTGTTCAATCGATGCGTCTGGATTCTAGCAACGCGTCGTTTTTAAACTAGGAAATAATAAATGATAATAGAACGAGGACGCCCGTGACGTCAGTAATTGCTATCGACTCTTCGAAAGAATAAGTTGAGAAAATAAGGGAAGAGGGGACGTCAGGCTTGTCTCATTTAAATTAGTCCACGGTTTCACACAGCAATAGAGCTTACCACTGTCTGGGGGCCAATCGTAATTCCTTTTCCTATCCGGGTCGCTCGATTTTTGCTCCGACTTCCCGATCTCGCTCAGGTTCGACTGGAATTTATTACCTGCAACCAAAATAGACGTTCTAAATGAAATTTGACACACGATCAAGTCGCGAAATTAGCGATGGCTGCCCATTAAGCCGGACAGTGTCTGGGGGCTTAACCCCTCAAGCCGGTAATTTAGCACGAATTGTCACAATCTGCCACCCGTGTTAATTAATTTCGGTAAATTAAAGAAAACTCGTCCCTTCAATCTTCAAATTTATTCGGAAATACGAAATCGCGAATAGAAAAGTATTCGATTATTTTTAGCATTATATTTGGTACACATCCGTTTTTTATTTTTATCATTTTGCTTCTGCATTTTATATTTTTCCGCTTTCATTATTTAGAGCAATTTCCGTGAATTTTAACTTTAATGGACATGTTTGTTTAATTTTTATGCACTCGATCCAACTCTCAGACAATCTCTGTGCTATTTTAGTCCTTTATTAGCTGCGCTAATGATTATTCTAGTATTCGTTTAATAAATCGCATTCTAGAAATTTAGAACTATTTTTGCGAGTATAGACAGTATTGAGATAGTCCAAATATTTCGAGAACTTCAATGGAAATAATGCATTTCATGTTATTATATAGGGTGGTTCTAGAAACTAGGACAAACTTTGGTTCCTTTCTAAACGAAAATACAAACAATTTATACGGGGAAAAACGTCAAATTCCATAATAGTAACTATCTTTCGATGACAGAGTTCTTTTTTAAAGTGAAATAATACAAATAAAAGCGTGAAGAAGCAATCAAAAATGGATATAAAGTTCGAAATCAGAAGTTCGTCAAGCAATTGTAAAAAATCTCAAGAACATATCTTTTTCTATTTTAAAGTGTTCATATTTTAGTATTTAGCTTATCTTAATTTTATTTGTAACTTTCACATTTATTTTGGAACCCTTTTGGATACTAATTGAGTATTTTTTCAAGTGATTGGACTAAAAACGAAAGTAGATGTAGCAAAGGGTTCGAAAGCCAAACATGGACTATAATACGGTTCCAGGATCCAAGATTAACCCGTAATCGATGACGGAGCATTTAACGTCGTGAACCGTCGTCGAATAAAACCTTCTCGCGGTGGTAATCTAAATTCAGCTGACTTCCCGGCAAGAATGAATGCACACCGAAACCCCAAAGGGGGGGGCACAAAGGACGGGGAAACAATAGCGCCGTGGCAGAAGAAGAGGAGAGTAACAGAGCGAGTTAAAGAATGGAAGGAAGTGGCCCCGGAGGTGTAAAGGAAGCAGGGACAAAGGGGACGTACGACGAGTGGCCCCTTCACTGAAGATGTTTACGGGCCTGTTACGCGTAAAGTGGGTGGCAAACGCGGGTAACTAGTATGCAAACTACGAGTAAACACAATTCCCCTTATCCACTGCATAACAGACCCTTCCATGCTGCCGCGTTTGTCGCGGTCCAGTCTGCCGGATCAAATCAAGTAATGAAACTAGCTCACGCTGACTGCTCCCGTCGACTAGACACCCCGTCGGGGTGGGGGGGAAGCTTTTTCGTTGGTTTAATCCCAGCCAGGTGGAGCTACGGTCCGACTAGAAATTTTGTAGTTACAACGGCGGGATCCATTTGCATACATCAACCCCACCGGGGCAAATTTCAAGCAGGAAGAGTCTCGCGTCAACAGAATCCATTCACGGATCTCTGGTTTTCTCGTTACCTGTCTCGATTTCGACTGCACCATGGGAAAAACCCATCGATCCTGTTCGTTTCTTCGCTGACTCGATAGAGAATCTTTAAAGGGGGTTTTCAACCCTTCAAATACCTAACATTTTCACTTTGAATTGAGATATATTTATCCATCTTTCAGGGTAAAGCATTCAGCGTTAAAATAGCAGTACTTACGTTGCAATAATTGATGCAAAATAAGTAGCTTAGAGCAAGCAGAAACATGCTTCTAACTCTAGGTAGCTCTACCATGAATCTCGGAATTTCTAACCAAGATGAAAGAACTTATTTATACACTAGAGAAAGAATTCTCAAATGTTTCAAACCCAAGCAATACCTTCTCAAACGTCAATGAACAGTCAGAGATCATTGAGAAGATCAATCGAACAATTTCTCATAGGAAATGGGTTCTTCTAGTCTCCAATTCTTGCTCTAACGAATTCATGCAGCCTATCTGCTGGGAAACACATCAACTTGGGTCATTCCTTCTATGAAAAGAACGCTAGAGTCTGACAAGCATCATCATTCCCTCTGTATTGACCATAATTCCATGAAAGGCGGAACCAAGTGGCGAAACTGGTGTTCTCCACTCTCAGAAATCGTCCTTTCTAGTCTCCAATTCTTGCGCTAACGAATTCACACAGCCTATCTGCTAGAAACACATCAACTTGGGTTCTGCACTCTCAGAAATCGTCGTCCTCGAAACAATATCGATAAACCCTGCCAGGTAGCCGGGGACTTAATTCTGGCAGACCCGTCGCAAGCTGCTCGAACACACCGCTTTGTCTTCCATACCCTCCTGATTAGATTTTGTAAGTTCCTGGCCCCCCGAAGGCGGTCGGGTCGGTGGAAGAGCAGGAAAGGCGGATAGCGTCGGGGAACACGGTCTTGGCACAATACCCCATTTCGGCGAGGTAATGGGCGATCATCCTGGTACACACGCCTGCGCCGTGAGCCACTTGTTCGGCACTGTGTATAATAGCGACCCGATACAGACGGTAGCCGACCTAACCGGCCGTATACACGTCCACGGGACAACAAGGTGAGATGCCCCGGTGTACAGAGGAATGGATAGGCCAGACAGACGTATGCAAATCCCGGCCAAACATTACCAGCGACAGTATACCGTGCGGCCTACCCTACACGCGCGACCCTTACCAAATTACGCTCACTATTTTTCGATCTTGGCCTTTGTTTAAGTCGATAAACAGTGCTTTCGAACTGATGAATATACAGGCTGGGTCCATATTCTTTCGTGTACACTTCAGCAGTACTTTCAAGAATTTCAAATCGTACTAAAAAAATTATTTTTAGTTGCAGAGATCGATTACAAGCATTTTTGGTCAATAGACATACCCCCGAAATCCTACTCAGTTTCGAGAAAAAAATTCCGTAATGAAAATGTAATGTCTGACCATACCATTGATATGTTTCACTGAAAATTTATGCGAATCTTTAAAATGTCATAACTCCTGAACGGATTGGTCGATTTGAATGTTTAAAACGGCAAACAACGCGTATTTTAGTGGAGAATGTGTAGAAATTCCAAAAATATTCAAAAACTTATTCTTTCACACCGCAAAATAAGGAAAACTCCATAAAAGATGGTCCAATTTTCAAACACCTATAACTTCTACAATAGTGAATATATTTCATTGAAATTTTGGGAGGAACTAGAGTTCACGGATACCTACAAAAAAGTATTAGACAATTTTCCTGTAGGATGTCAAACAAATTTATTAAAAATGAAAAACTAATTTTTAAAATAATTGACAAGGAGTAAGTGCCTGGCAAAATTGAACAAATTTCAAATCATACTAAAAAAATTATATTTAGTTAGAGGGGTCAATTACAAAGCATTTTTGATGAATAGACATACCCCAAAATCCTAACCATTTTCGAGAAAAAAATTCGAGTAGGCACTGAAATTTTTAGACGAAATTAAAGAATTTCAAATCGTACTAAAAAAATTATATTTAGTTAGAGGAGTCAATTACGAAGCATTTTTTATGAATAGGGATACCCCGAAATCCTAACCATTTTCGAGAAAAAAATTCGATTAGGTACTGAATTTTTTAGACGAAATTAAAAAATTTCAAATCGTGTTAAAAAAATTATATTTAGTTAGAGGGGTCAATTATAATCAATTTTGGTCAATACACATATCCTCGAAATCCTACTCAGTTTCGAGAAAAAAATTCCTTACTGTAAATCTAATGTCTGGCCATTTGTTGATATGCTTCCCTGAAATTTCATGTGTTTCAGATCGTTCTAAAAAAAATATTTTTAGTTGCAGAGATCTATTACAATCATTTTTGGTCAATAGACATATCCTCGAAATCCTACTTAGTTTCGAGAAAAAAATTCTTCACCGAAAATTATGTCTGACTATACCATTGATATGTTTCACTGAAATTTCCCTTAAATCTTTAAAACGTCATAACTTCTGAACGGATTGGCCGATTTTAATGTTCAAAACGGCAAACAACGCGTATTTTAGTGGAGAATATGTAGAAATTCCAAAAATATTCGAAAAGTTGTTCCTTAACACTTTAAAATAAGAAAAACCCCATAAAAGTGGTCCTAATTTTCAAAGAACCATAACTTCGACAATAGTGAATGGATTTCAATGAAATTTATTGAGGGAGTAGAGCTCACGGGCACTTACAAAAAAAGTATTAAACAACATTTCCGTACAGCGTGAAACAAATTTATTAAAAATTAAAAAATGTTTTGTAATAGCTATTCTGGTTTCTTTTAACGATTGTATGCAAATTTCATTTACTCCCCTCCTAACAGCACAAACTTTACGTTTACACTTTGACTTTAGATTGTAAATTAAAAGAGATTTAATTTCCCATTTGCATTTTATTGGTTCACCGCGACAAAGCTTGAAATTAAAAATTTGCTCTTCAACTTCCCTCGAATGCTCTATTAAACTGTCCACCGTGGAGATTCTCGATTAGGAAACTTTTCTAATCGTGCGGTAACAAATGTTTTAATTCATTTATAATACAAATGTAATAATAGTACAGATGGGAACAAAATGAAAATAGAAAGCAATTGGTTTTAGAACTTGCGAATGTAATAGAGCTTTAATTATTCGATTTACGTTTTATTCGACAAACTGGTTAACGATCAGCTTGTTGTCGAACAATTAAACATTCAATTCTTCCCCTCCCCAAAGGATAAAAAGACAACATTCTCGGGAAACTTTCTTCCCCGACGTTTTCCTCTGATTTTCTCCGTAAGCTCGGCAACTTTCTAAACACGTTTACCAGTTCAGCAGTAAACTTCACGCGAAAAAAGTCGGTGAATTTCGTTTCTGAAATTA